AAGAGTGACTAGCTTACCGTTTGCGCTGGGCGGTAGCCTCCCGGAGGCGGCCGGGCGGAGCACGGCCACGAGACCGCCAGCCAAGGAGGCTTGACGCCCAAGCTGAGACTACCGGCCCTCCCACACGACGTGCAGCCCCCCCCAGTTGGGGGGGCGCACAGAGAAGGGAGGGCCCGCGGCTGGCTATACTTCGCACTGGTTCTGCTTGGCAGACTGAGTCAACAGGGTGGGTGCCCAGGGCGTCGCCCCACCTCCAAGGCCCGAACCTTGGAGGGGTGGAGGCGGCGCCACGCGGGCCGTTTGTGACCAGCAAAGAGCTTGGGAGGTGACAACGCCGTCGGCCGGGGGAGCGCCTGACGCCGTAAGTCGTTTAAGCCGGAACGAGCCCCGCGCGGCCAAGGGGGCCCCTGGCCACAAGCCACCGAAGGTGACTTAAACTATATCCCCTAGCGGGGATGAAGTAGTGTCCGATGGAACAACTAGGACGGTCATCGTATACGAAACAGAGTTTCTAATTTCCGGTACGGTTCAGATTCATGTGTGCCGGCCCATGTCACTTTGACGCTACCGAGTAATTAGTCAATACCTAAAAAGGAAAACTAGCGAGATTGCAATGACTATTGACACCGTAAGATCTCCGATTATGTAAACGGTTGTCTTGCGACTGTAAGAGAGAGAAAAAGGAGGAGGAGGCACCAACAACTTCTTCTCTACCAGTTCGCAAGCAACCGTAGCATAATCGAGAATCCTTGTAACGGTAGGTCAATAGGTTCATTGCAATCTCGCTAAGTTTCCTTTGTATTGAACTAATATTACTTCGGAAGGGCGCTAAAGGATCATGGGCCGGCACCACATATGAATCTAACGTACCCGAATTAGATAACTCCTGTTCGTATTACGATGACGTCCTAGTTGTCACATCGGACACTACTTTCATCCCCGTAGGGATATAGTACACCTTCGGTGGCTTGTGGCCAGGGCCACCTTGGCGCTCGGCTCCGTCGAGGAAGGGGAAAAAAACTTGTCTTTTTGGAGTTCCATAAAAAATGGGTGAAAATGAAAAAATGTATCCGAAAATAGTGCCTCATAAGGCGGGTAGAGTCCCCTGACAACTCCCCTCGCATTCCTCCACACTCTGAAAAAGTCTGAGTTGTTTTTTTGGAGGACCATCAAAAAGGGCTAAAAGTGTTGAAATGTATCCGAAGATAGTGCATCATGAGGCGGATAGAGTCCCCTGGCAACTCCCCTTGCATTCCTCCACACTCTGAAAAAGCCTGAGTTGTTTTTTTGGAGGACCATAAAAAAGGGCTAAAGTGTTAAAAATGTATCCGAAAATAGTGCCTCATAAGGCGGGTAGAGTCCCCTGACAACTCCCCTCGCATTCCTCCACACTCTGAAAATGTCAGTTATTTTTTGGAGAACCATCAAAAAGGGCTAAAAGTGTTGAAATGTATCCGAAGATAGTGCCTCATAAGGCGGGTAGAGTCCCCTGACAACTCCCCTCGCATTCCTCCACTCTCACAAAGTAACACTTTACTTTTTGGAGAACCGTACAAAACGGCTAAAGGTGTTGAAATGTATCCGAAAATTGTGTCTCACACAGAGTGTGTTTGCTCCACAAGTGGTATTCAACCCAGAATGCAATTGGGGTGTATGTACAAAAACAATGTGTCCGAAGAGGCTTCTCTTAATGCGGCTACAGTTTCCTCAAAACTCACAAAGTAACACTTTACTTTTTGGAGAACCGTACAAAACGGCTAAAGGTGTTGAAATGTATTCGAAAATTGTGTCTCACAATTCCTTGACAACGCCTGCATTCCTCCAGAGACCAGTTTCCCAAACTCAAAGTTTTGCAACCATGACAGAGTGTGTTTGCTCCACAAGTGGTATTCAAGCCAGAATGCAGTTGGGGTGTATGTACAAAAATAATGTGTCCGAAGAGGCTTCTCTTAATGCGGCTACAGTTTCCTCAAAACTCGCCTTGCATTCCTCCACTCTCACAAAGTAACACTTTACTTTTTGGAGAACCGTACAAAACGGCTAAAAGTGTTGAAATGTATCCGAAGATAGTGCCCCATAAGGCGGGTAGAGTCCCCTGACAACTCCCCTCGCATTCACCCACTCTCACAAAGTAACACTTTACTTTTTGGAGAACCGTACAAAATGGCTAAAAGTGTTGAAATGTATCCGAAAATTGTGTCTCACAATTCCTTGACAACGCCTGCATTCCTCCGGAGACCAGTTTCCCAAACTCAAAGTTTTGCAACCATGACAGAGTGTGTTTGCTCCACAAGTGGTATTCAAGCCAGAATGCAGTTGGGGTGTATGTACAAAAATAATGTGTCCGAAGAGGCTTCCCTTAATGCGGCTACTAGTGATGGGATTTATGGCTCTTTGAAGGGAGCCGGATCTTATGGCTCCGTTCCTTTCAAAGAGCCGTTCAAAAGAGTCGTTCAAAAGAGCCGTTTTTTTAAAGGGGGCCGGGTTACTAGGTTTATCTGCGAAATAATCACCAGGATAATGATTGACTGTATTGCCAGACCTAATGTCAATAATCTTCTTTGTAAACATGACACAAGGTGGCGCCATATCCATGTCATTCATGTCAGTGAATGTACTACTTTGAATTTACCCTCTATGTGTTAAGTAAATAAAGTTGTCTAGCCTTGCCTGAATTTATCGCAACTTTTTATATTAGATACTGTGTTTTTAAGTGGCGATGGAGATTATTTGTTGACCCTGCTTTAAAGGATAGTTTGCCTTTACAAATGGTGCGCTTTATCACTGCCTGGGTTTTGGTTGAAGTGCATCCAAATGCTATTCCGTTCCGACCCACCCCATCTCACTCCTCGTGCTGAAACCTACCAATCAGAGTAGGGGCGGGTCTTCACAGAATACGTGTTGGGAACAAAATCAAGCTTTTTAAAAGGCGAGTGGATTCGCAGGCAGTGAGTGCGGACCAACGATTGAACGATAACAAGAACGGCTCTCACCAAGTACGACTCGGTTCTCCTCGTTCGTACCAAAGAGCCGTTCAAAAGAATCGGCTCGCTCTCGACCGACACATCACTAAAGGACATAACGTGAACATCTCTTCAGCTCGTGTTAACCACTTCAGCTCATGTTAACCACATACCTTATTTCATGCATTTTACCAAAGCCAAGTCCAAAAACTGTTTAATTTTTGACAGAGGGAACTGGAAATGTGGACATGTATCGAGGATTTAGGACACCTTCGCCTCTCCATTTTTAGATCATGTAACACTGGAAAAGGAGGAGTTGGTGTTATATGACATGTATGCTATTTGTCAGGTTTAGGGGAAGTGTGCTCACAATCCCCCCCTCACCTCTCCATACTGCAAAAACACAGCCAAGCTGGTCTTCTCTCTACTTTTTGTGTCTTATTATAAATCATCTGACCTTTTGACTCACTATAAGGTAAACGTGAGTGCTGGTTGTGGGGGAATGCCCTCCAGGTGGGCGTTCCCAGCATGGGGCCGTGACGTCACGTGACAACGATGAACTGAACACTTTGAAAACATACAGATTTGAATCATGTGATCTTGTGATTGTTTGTGCTGTAGGAAACGTTGACAGGAAAGTATGGAGAAGACTCAAAGCTCATCTATGACCTGAAGGACCAAGGAGGAGAGCTGCTGTCCCTCAGATATGATCTCACTGTATCCTGCCTACTGCACCATGTTCACATAGATGTTTTATTATATAAGGGATCATTGCTCTGCTTAACTGAAGGTTCACGAAAGGGAGAAAATACCTTTTGTTGCCTCTAAATGTTTTATTATTTAACACATTAATGCATCAAACAAGCAAGATGCTTCTTATTAAAAGCAGAGCAACATTAATTTCTCAACAATGGATTTTTGAATATCCTGTTACTAATCAGGAGGACACAGGGTGTGATTCTGCACATTAAGAATTTGTCCTTTATCACATGAGTTTAATTTATTTATGAAATATAGAACTTCCCTTTATCATTTTTTTGTTGTTTTGTTACAAAGGTTGCTTTTTAATTTTAACAATTGTATTTGTCTTGTATGTTGGTGCTACATTAACTTAGCCTAGTCCTCAAAGCAGAGTGTTGTTCTTGACCTGCCATCCTTCAGGTGCCCTTCGCTCGCTACCTGGCCATGAACAAGATAACAAACATCAAGCGTTACCACATCGCTAAAGTGTATCGCCGTGACAACCCCGCCATGACTCGGGGACGTTACCGAGAGTTCTACCAGTGTGTGAGTCATCCTGATACATACGCACCACGACCCGCATACCGGAGGATCTGTTGGATCTTTAAAAAGCTGACCTGGTTTTATTCTCTCACATGTGGGTGTGTTTCAGGATTTTGACATCGCAGGGCAGTATGACGCCATGATTCCAGACGCTGAGTGTCTGAAGATCGTCTACGAGATCCTCAGTGAGCTGGACATCGGAGACTTCCGGATCAAGGTTAGTCCCATCAATTCAGGGAAATGGCTACAGGGAAGCCGCAGATCTGACGAGTGGAAGAGATAATCACTCTGATGTGCAGTATGCATTTTCTCTTCAGAAGACTGCTACTTATTTAGTTTTTCCCACTGTGGGAATCATAAAGGTTTTCTGACTGTGATAACCACGTCCTCCGTGTGCAGGTGAACGACAGACGCATCCTGGACGGGATGTTCGCTGTGTGTGGTGTTCCAGACGACAAGTTCCGCACCATCTGTTCAACAGTGGATAAACTGGACAAGGTTTGTGCTGCACCATGTGGAAACAAAAAACCTATTGAGATGATTTTGCGACTAAAATTGCCATATGATAAACGATACTGAATGGATTCATCATTTTGCATCCCAATTCTCATAACATTTGAAATATAAAATGAAACAATGGTTATGGGCTTTTTCTTTTTGAGGATCTGGAGCAAACAATATGTATTGTTAAGTAGAATACGATTTGCAGGCTGGGGTATCCCTGCGGCTCCACAATACTTACTTTAACAAGTATTCAATAATATATGTCCTGTAAGTTGAATAGTGTACTAGTCCATATTGTAATTTTGATTAATTATGCAGCCCTCCTATGTGCAAATACTCAGCTTTTATGAACTCAGTTCTCAAGAAGGACATGTACAAATATTGTAGAGCATGCTAAAATGTCGCTATAATGAGACAAACGGGTGTCACCCTGTTTTCTCCCACCTTCTCTGTCATTCATCAATATCTCCTTATGTTGTTTGAACCCAGATGCCGTGGGAGGAAGTGAGGAAGGAGATGGTGAGTGAGAAGGGTCTCTCAGAGGAGGCTGCGGACCAGATCGGGGAGTACGTCAGTTTACAGGGTGAGACTCCCAACTCACAGACATCAGTGATATGTTGTCAGTAAAGTATTCACTCCAAACAGGGGTTCATGAGATTATTGGAGCTATGGTTATTCTCCTATGGTATTATATCAAACAGCATCTAGTTTTGGGTCTTTTCCTGGACAAAAAAAGGCATGTGGGAATGAATGGCATTGTTTCAAAGGTTTGCATGTATAAGCATATTAGCTAGAGCGTAGCTTCGGCAGTGAAACTCTTCAGTCTGATGGCGCATTTCCACTGCAGGGCCTCGTACGGTATAGTTAGGCCTTGGTAGGCCAGGCTCACTTTATGCTGCGTTTCCATTACAGTTTAGGAACTGGGGCAGTAACTATAGTAACAGAGTGTAGGCGGTGCCGTGACTTCATCTTCAATGCGAAACACAAAACCAACATCAGCCGTTAGCTGTTAGCACTCAGAGCTCACAGCTCCTCATATCTGTTCAGAAACTAGACAAAGGTTAAACAAGTACAAACCACATACTGTCTGTGTCATGGCGAATACAGTCGCTGGTTTATTTATGTCTGTATAGGCCGTTGTTGTGAGTGTGGACGGTCGGAGCATTTACAACGTTAGCTTAGCCAAATCTCCATTAGAAAACTCGCATTTTAAAAGGTTTTTTGCCTGCCGTCTGTCTGCAGACTTGTCAAAGCATTAATTCATGGTTTTTACCATCCGGTATCAGTATGTTGTTACTTCGGCATCATTTTGAAACGTGTATTACAATTAAATCACGGTCAAATATGTTCATCTTGTTGTAGTTGTTCAAATCATAGAGACTGCCTAAGGCACAC